TGAAATTTTGTCTAGTGTTTACATAATTTATTTACCATCAGGACTTTAATGTGCTCTGTAAATTTGAAGTCTCAAATGCACTGATGAAGACTGTTCTGCTTTCAAAAGGTGTGAGAATGACAAAGGACCTCTCAGTGCTCTGAAAATGGTCATAAATAGTCTGTCATCTTACACACTCCCATTGTATTTGTTCCACTCTTGTATCAAAGTGTGGGGGAAGAGGAGCTAATGTGCCAAATTGCAAGAGATGAAGGCAGATACGTTGCTGTAACTCAGCAGCTAAAAATGAACTGCCAGACTAAGAAGCACTTCCTAATATTTGGACTTCTACTAAAGTTTGTTTTTTATAGAGGGTAGAAATGCCTCTTTCAGAACCATCACTTTTTAGTGACATCTGTTCCCAGCACTTACTAAATGATATGGCACGCTAATTCTTTGTCTCCTTTGCTTACACCTGGAGGAGAATCCATGTAGTAAGTTTCCACAAGCCAATGTACTTGATGTGGAAGCCTGAACTTTCTCAGGATAGAATATACTACTGGATGCTAGATGTGCTTATCTCTTCAGTATCATACCCTTCCCTACCCACAAGTATCTTTACATATGTTCTTTTTAAAAATGCACAGGATTGCTAGCTTTTTACAAATTTTGAGTAGGCAACTTCATGTATTTTTACTCTCACTGAAAGAAAATGTATTCTGTTTATCATTCTACCTTTGTACAAGGTAAATTGCATGCTAAGATCTTTATGCAGTGAATCAAGTAAGTATTGATTCTCTCATCAGTGGAATCTATGGTCATATTAGACATGTCAGGTCATAAAAAACAACCATTTTAGTTTGCATTAGAGGGCTAATCACTTTTATGTGCTTCTCCTTCAAGAAAAAATGGCTTGTCAAACTCCTAAAGGAAGAATTTTATATTCTTCTATGAATGTGACAGTTACATCTATTTGGTCTTAGTACTTGTACATCACATTACATAGAAACTTCTGGGCAGAATACTGAACTCCAGACCTTACCGTGGGGCCTTGGCCATGTGTGAAATGACACATTCTTACCAGGGAGCTACGGATTCTGATGGCAGCTCCCCCCAACATGGATCTGCCTGTCTACAGTGTGGGTACATACTTCTGACTGGAGTCAGAATAAATCCAATTTTCAAAGGATTATGTAAGTTTATTGGAAGTATTAGGATAGTTATTAGGCTTCATTAATAAAATTTAAAAGATTAGATTATTTCTTTTGCTGATGTTCAGTTTGGACCATGGCCTCTCTCATAAAAGAGAAACCATCACATTTATTTTCTACATATTATGGGAAAAAGAAAAGACTGTCATGTTTTTTGTTTTCCAATGTAATGCCAATTTTGTGGTAACTACAGTTAGCTATTTTGCTAACATGCTGCTGTTCTTGCCTCCAGCTTCTGAAGACTATGACCCCATAAACCTCCCGTCTGCAGAGATAGCTAATGCTTTAATTGATCATTAGTACACTTTCAAAATGAGTTTCCATCTGCCAAAAGATTAAGTGTCTCAGGGAATTGACTGAGAGCAGTTTGATGCACGGAGGATAAATGCAAGTGCCTTTAAAAAGCACTGCTAGATCACAAATCCTTGAAAAACTTGCTTCTAAAATACTTACAAGGAAAAGTAATAGGAAAGGTTTTTCCTCTGCTTTGTTTTTCCTTCAAATTAAGTATTTTTTTAATATATCATTGAGAATTTGTTACCTCATTTTCAAGAACTGAAAAGCAAAACCTCATGAAAATGCTGAATTTAACCTTACAGCAAACCATGCAATTTTTGGCAGCTTTAATTTGCAATGTAAATTTTTTGTTAAAGAGGTTCATTTCAACTGTAAAAAAAAAACATAGGGAAAAAAAAAGAAAACTTTTCCATTAGCTGTACTTAAGAATATTAGGAGAAAAAGACTTCCACGTTTAATCATGTATTTTCACAATTACTGGGACTGCTTCTCTTTCTGTTTTCTTCAAGCTTTTGCCTTAGTTTATTTGGAGAGATTTTTACAGGTTTTCTGTTGGTTTCTCTGCCATTTTTGTACAAGGCACTTTGGGCAAGACTTCCACCACTGCAACAGCACTTAAAGTTGTTATGAGAGAAATGGTAGCTTCTTTCTCAGGCCTCTGAAAAAGCAGTGCTATTTAACTCAGGTAAGGACAGTTCTGGCTCTGCATTAGAGCTGGCAGCACTGTTGTACCAGAAAATATGGACACTGAGCTGTCCTGCAGCAGTGCCAAAAGGCAGAGGTGTTGCTCTGGTCAGCTGTCACCTTTGCTGTGGTTATGGGTTCCCAAATGGGCAACTTAGGGACCTCTAGACCTCCCAGTGTCCTTAATGCCTTCTGGGGGTGTGCTTTTAGCACCGCCTGCAGTTACAATCAAGGAGGTGGCAAGGGGGCTGGCATGGAATTGATGGTAAAAAGATACAGATGGATCTTCCAAATTTACTTTTTTCCAAATGTCTGTCTACTGTGGGAGGATGGATTACAGAGGAATAAGAGATGGTGCTAAAGGCATTCTCACCCCTGAGGAGTTGCAGCTGTGCTAATTAGTAGGGATTAAGAACAGGCCTGCCCTTAATAGGCCACAGGTATCTCCAATGAGGCTGAGTGTCCTAAAAGGGTGGGCTAGCTAGTTGAGAGAGATGGAGTCAGCTGGCTGTGAGGAGCTGCCCAGGAGATAGCATAAAGATGGTATAGTAATGACATATTCCTCTGATTTGCCGCTCAGGTTAGGGAAAAACTGGTCCAAATGCACCATTTTATATATATTCACTAGTGGTTGTTGAAACAACACCCGGCTGAGGCTGTAATTATGGTGAGTGGAAGGCAAAGGATACTGGTTTTGCAAATAACCCTGGGAAGAGTAATCTAACCTATGTATGAAAGGTTGCATTCTCTTTGCCTTGTCAGGCAAAGTGGAAGATACTGGTGTCACAATCATTCTGTGACAGGATGTTGGAACTGGTTTAATATAGGCTGACTAAGAAGTGAAACTTTTCTTTTTTGATTTTATTTGCTGCATGTTGATGGGAAGTATCCATTTAGAGAATGTGGCTAAAATTCTATCAAATACTTCAATGCTTGAAGAAATAAAGAAAGAGGGGAAATAAGATCTTGACTTTCAATTTCGTAATAATGCAATATGAAGGCCAGATTGTAACTGTAGATGTTCATTTCAAATTTAAATATTTAGCATTTTCAGTTGTCTGTGAATACACGAAAATTTATTACATTAAGATGGAATTTAGATCTTTGACATGAAGCTGATATTTTCATAGAGTGAAAAATATCAAGCTGACATTATACTGTCTCATTTGATGACTTCCAAATGTCAGAGTGCAGTAACTTATTCATAGGGACCTCCATGTCTTGTGATAGTGTCAGTTCAAAAGACATTTACATCCACTATTTTATTTAAACATGTAAAATGGAATATGCAAAGTGGCAGAGGAGAAGGGGGGGAAGACCAGGGCAAGGAAGTTCTTAATAACAGAATGGAGGCACTTCTAAGGCTAATTTCCACCACAGCCTTCTTTCTGACAGCGGCCCGGCTCTGCTGCTCCCTCCCAGCATCTTCCTCCTCCCCTGCTCAGCCACCTCGTAGTTCTTGTCATTTCAACACAAGTTAGGGGATTAGAAATAGCAGGATATACTATCCTGAAAAGCACTCCCAGCACTTGCTTTTAAAAGTGATTTTGTAATAATAGGAGATGCTGGATGATTTTGCCTGGGTGTTAATTGATGCCTATATAATTTAGATCAAAGTTACAAGGTGCTTATATAGCTTGAGTTGTAAGATGTCAGTATAACCTGATATCAATATAACCGGAATCATCACTTTTTATATATCTATATAACCTGAATCATAGTTTTTTATACCTATATAACCTGAGTCATAACTTTTATACCTATATAACCTGATATAAATAACTTTTTATATAATGTAATGGCTAGTATATGGTTAACTAGTTGCTTAATGCTGAACAGACAAAAAAGAAGAAAAAACACACCAGGTGGATAGCTGTAGAGATAGGTAAGTATAGTACTAATGAGAAATTGGCAAGTGCAAAGCCAATTAGCCACAAAACAAAGAATTTAGGCTGGTCAAGACCAGACAGGCCAAGGAACACCGTAACTGTGCATGCTCTGAAGACAAAGTTGAGAAGTTGAGATGTGAAGACCTTGGAAGCCTTCATCAAAGACCCCCGATGACGCCCAAATTGGGGAGGCACGAGTGCAGTGCAGAAGAACGATCTAATAACCACCAGATTACACAATGTAAATTAGTTCTGGTGCCCATGTGATGATGTTGTAGTGATACTAAGCAGTACTCACTGCATAAATATACCACAGCACAGACAAGGGTGGGTGAGTTAGGTGGAGATACCCCCTCACCTCCAACACTGCAATAAGCAAATACCTGCTCTATAGACATGGGGATTTATTTCCAGCCTATCTTTCAGGCATCCTAATGGTACTGTTGGCAATGCACAACCTCGGTGTGAGGGCTGCTAACAGGGTTGTGAAGCCACAGTAGCTGATGATAACAAATATTATTTTATATTCTAGTAATCTTTGTGCAGCTGCGATCCAGGGGGTCGTGTACAGCCCGAGGCCGAGCCGGCTCTTCCTCATGTGGGTCAGATCATCGCACAGCGCTCCGCACCTTGCGACAGGGCCGGAGGGACAGCGTTCGCGCTCCTCAGGCCAGGGCCGGACGGACGCCAGGAGGGACAGGGGCACAGGGCCGGGCACAGGGACACGGCGCGGGCTTCTCGGCACAGGGCCGGGCACAGGGACGCGGCGGGGGCTCCTCGGCACAGGGCTGGGCACAGGGACACGGCGTGGGCTCCTCGGCACACGAACACGCAGAGTGCTGCGGGCCACACACAGCGGCCATTTTGTTCTCCTCCCTGCGGCGCGGTCCGGGCCGGCGGCGCCCCCTGGCGGCCATGGAGCAGCCCCCGCGGCCGGCAGGGGGCGCGGCGGCGCGCGCCGGCGGCCATGTCGGAGCTGGCGCGGGAGGAGCTGTCGGCGCTCGCCGCCATCTACTGCGAGCCGGGCGCTTGCGAGGTGCTGGCGGCCTCAGGTGATGCGGCCGCGCTCTCTGCCCCCAGCCCGGGCTCTCCCGGCCGACCGGGCTCCGGGAGGAAGCGCTCCGGGGCCGCTGATGGCGGGGCTGAGCCCCGGGGCAGCACGGGCGCAGTCGCTCGCTGCTGTCCCTTGTCGCGTGTCCCTGCCCCGCCGGGTGTCTGTGCTGGCGGCTCGCTGGCGGCGCGGAGCCCAGCGGGCCCTGCTCGGTTATAGTCGGGGACCTGCTCGGTGCCCTGAGGGCAGCGCTGGGAACGGGCTGGCTGCTCTCCAGGCAGACAAGCAGGTGACTCTTGTACGCGTTAACAAGACCAGGTATTTGTCTGGTAGTACTGAGTAGGGTACAGCTGTTGCAGTGCATAGGAAGCGTTGGGTTATCTCTGGGTTTTTTTCTGGGGTAAGCTGACTACCTGGGCACTGTGACGTGCCAGATGTTGCTGCTGCTTCATCAGGATGTGTGCGGCTGTAGGTTTTACAGGTAGTGAGGCTGATGTGTCACGTCTGCCGTGGGTGGAATGATCTGGCCTGTAGTACTTGCTCCCATCAGCTGCTGGATGCTGCAGACAAGGAGCAGGGAGTGTAGATGCCTTCATGGTTTCTGCACCAGCCATGGTGGCCACTGATCAGAACATAGTATTAAGAGATGGCTTTTTTCAGTCTGTGCTGTGAAGATGCCCCTTCAGCAAGGGAGAATAAATCTCAGTAGTTCCAATGTACAACAGCAGTTCTGTCAGGCTTAAATGTCAGGTGGGATATGCAAGTGTTGATGTCTAGATCGAGGACATTAGTAAGTTTTGCTCGGTGCCTACCACAGATGTGACAACTCTTAGAGAGATACACATGCACATATACACACAGATTGTGTCTTGTCTATGTTGTGTACCGCAGGTTCCCGGTGTCTGGGAGCTCTTGCAGAGTTCTGCCCAGCTCCCCAGCGCAGTGATGGACAGGGAGCAGCTTCCTGCTGGCTGGAGTCCTGGGGAGTGCTGCTAAAGATGGATGTAGTGGCCGTGCTGTTAGATTTTGTCTGCACATGTGTGTATTCAACCCTAAAGAACTGGGATTGATAAGGTGACTTTTTTTTTACTGGGAGGGTGATTGAGTGCTGGAGGCTGCCAGGAGAGCTTGTGGAGTCTCCCTCACTGGAGATATCCTGAATATCTGGATATTGTCCCGGGGAGTTGTCCTGTTGTAGGTGACTGCGCTTGAGGGGAGAGGGGGGATGAAGGCATTAGTCTCTGCAGGGAGCACAATTAACCACAGTAATCTAAACCCACCAATTTTGTTTCTAGATACATGACACCTCCTGCTCCAGTGCAGACATGTAATTGTGCCGTATAATTTTTTAAAAAATTGGTATTTAGGGTTGTATTTTTAAAACATGATTGATGAAATCTTTCACCTGAGCCTTATTTTTAAGTAAAAAATTCCAAGAGTGTTATTTTTGGCATAGATTGAAAAAGCAGTATCCAGGCTTATCAGATGTTAATTAAAAAAAAAAAAAACAAACGTGAGCATATCTGAACATTGCATACACACATCTGTTCCTCCAAGTCTGTTGAGAAATATAGGCACATTCTTCTCTGTGCTTCATATATGGAAAAATGATTTTGTGTTTATAAGTTAGCAGAATCTGAAAGGTTTAAAACCCTTTAAGGACATAAAGTGAGGTGCCACAAGTGCACAATGGGAGTAGGCTATGTTATTTATATTATGTGATCTTGGAGGGCCTTTAACCAGGCTGTGTTCATTACATGGTAGGATCAGGTATATTTCATTGGTTTACATAGTTTTCTGCTGGAATTGAAAATATTATTTTACAACAATGATTATTGGTATTTTTCTTACTCTTGGAATTTATTTGTTGGAGCTGCAGAATCTCTAGTCAGTATACAATTAACTTGCGCTCCAGTCATTAGGTTACATTTGCTTTATCTCTTCAAACCGTGTAAATTGTCATTGACAAAGGGTGCACAGACATAACTTCCAGGAAGACTGTTATGTTATGCAATCTCTGAGACATTAAGAGTAATTTGTGTGTAGATCCATGGGATCAAAAAGGAGGCCATTGGGGATTCGTGGTTTTGAGGAATGTAAGAGACTGCTTTTACAGGTCTCTTGGTATGGTAAAAACTTTGACTTTTTGGAATTTAACAGTGAAGTATTCAGAATGTAAAATGTGTTTTTATCAAAACCAATGTGTGGATGAATTTAAATAAACTAATTACAGTGTATCTTTTTTACCTTACATACCTATTTGCAAAGATTAGTGTTACAGATAGAAATCCATAACTTAATTGTTAATCTGGTCTCTTTTGGTCTGTTCACCAAGCTTGCTATAAAAATATATTTAGATATTCTAAGCTTGTACGTTAGTAGGTGCCATTTTCTGAATTTAAAAATAGACTGCATGTGTTGCATAAAATGCCTTTGGGCAGGAGAGGAGGGGGATATCTGTCTGGTTGACATGGAACATAAGAAAAAATCTGAAGTATGCTAGAGCTAAATATACTGATAAGCATGCAGCTATGGGGGGAAATGAGTTAAAATGTATAGAGTTTAGTCTGATTAGCACATTAAATGCCAGCAGAACAGTCGTACCCAACCTTTTATTTCAGAAATAATCATCGTGTTGTTGTGAGGACAACTCAGCCCTCGTAGCATGTGCAAACAAAGGAAATATTTCTTTGGAGCCAGGTTGCGCAGGGCGCCGGTGGTTTGCTCTTTGTTCTGCCAGAGTCTGCAGCGCTGGTGCAGAAAATGGACACTGCAAGGCTTAAATAAACTTTAGATGCTGTAGCCCTGCAAAGGTTTTGAACTGATTCTTCTTTTTAAAAAAGTAAGTCTGAAGCAGATGTAAATGAGCACAGCTGGGCTTTTCCTGATGGCTCAGGGTGATACACCTTGGGATGTGAGGCTGTTCTGCCTCCTTTAGATTAGTTCATCGCAAGGAAAGGTGTGAGATTTTTGCAGGTTTAAGAATAAGATCACTGCAGCAGGAGGTCCTTGTCGGAGGGGCAGGGTTGGCCTGTCTATCCCTCTGTTGCTTCTGAGTTGGTGAGATCTGTTGTGACAAGCTAGTGGAAAAATCCTAGCAGGATTATCAGAAAGGTAACGTGTTTTTCTGTCGCTGTTATTAAACTGGTGATAGAGTAGTATTTTTCAACTTATATAGGCTGTGCATTTTAAAATCTCGTGGCAACATAGTTTAAAACGAAGTGATTCCCAGGCAGGATTTGAGTAACGCTGGCCCCATTCAGGCAGGTGCCAGCTGGCTGTGCCAGGTGGGGCTGCCCTGAGTGGGGGCAGCTGAGGGCCAGGGGCAGCAGCACTGTCTGGTGCAATGGCTGTGTGTGCAGACAGCTCCCAGGACACACAGGGCAGGTTTGCTGCTGTGTCTGTGTGTGCCGAGCCTGGCGTAATGGCAGAGGAGCTACAGCTGCTGGTGCCCGGGGAGAGGCATTTGTCAGAGCAGCAGAAAACAGAAATTAGGGGTGGGAAGGCTTGAGGTCCTCCTCGGTAACTACTGACCGTGGGCAAGGGTTTTCTTCCAGGGCTGGTGTTTTTCTCAGGAATCCATTTAAATTAAAACTAGTCTGGAGCCTTTGGTAGGGACTTGGGAGGATAGAAGACAAACTCCTGTTGGCAGGAAACAACTCTTTTAACATGTGATGTCTGTAAATATAGGCATGGTTGGGTGTGATTTCATTGAATTCAGTGGAATTGCATCTACTGCTTTCACCAGTGGATTTGACTTGGAGACTTCTTCATCGTACTGGTAGAATTTGATTATTGGGTTTGGAGGGTTTGCTGATTTTATTTGATGACTTCTCTGATCTTGAGAGTTCTTTGTATGGCCCAGGAAGGAGGTTTGAAAACAAGCCCTTGCATAAGCTCTCTAAGGTACTTCTGTCTGTCCAAGTCACTTTTAGTTGCTTTCACTCTTTTAGTAGGTTTCACATATAAAACTATACATTTTGTGTGAGAGGCACTGTGAGAGATTGGTTAGTGGCATCAGTAATACTAATCAAACATAATTCATCTGACTGTCATGTAAAGGAAGGTAAGGTAAGGTAGAGGGGAAAGAGTGCAAGTCACTTCAAAAGACCTGCTCTGAAACTCAGCTCTCCTCTAATCTGCCTTTCAAATCTGGCTTCTCCTGCCCTCATAGAGTGAATCAACCTGACATTTTAGCAATTTTTGAAAGAAAAGGAGTGAAGTGTTTAGAATGTATCAAAGGGGTGAAGCAGAGAACATCTGAAGAAGATCATCTTTTGTCTGATTGATACCCTCTTACTTCATGGCAGAGGAGCGAAAGTAGGTTAGGTCTTTGTCCATGCTTTTCACTTTGTCAAGTTTTGTATTGTTTTTCTGTGAAACTTCTAGTTAAGAAGGTTTTATTTCATGAAATACTGTACATAACTTTCATATTAAGCATATTTGAGTATATGATTTATCAGGATGATGTGATCTTCAGCCTTTCCTGCTGCATACTGAGTGTATCCTTTCCACTCTGAAAAGAATTCTATTCTTAAGTAGACCTACAACAGATCTTGAGAGGCTATGGAGTTTTATAAACATACATTAATATGAGTACATGCATATTTATATATGTAGTATCTAGGGTCAGGTGTCCAACAGAGATGGTTTCCTTATGTCAGTCCAACTGTTGTAGAGGGGTTGGCAGAAAATATTTAAGTGTGTTTTCTCTGCAAGTTGTAGGGGACAAAGAATCTTCTTTCTTTCCAAGTCTCTGCTTAGCGTGGAACTGCTTTTGAATGATTGTCTTAAAAAATACCTGGTGCAAGTCTGTTTGCCTTGGATTAGTATTGATGTTAGAAGTGTTACAGATTTCTCTAGGAGTAAACTTAGGGCAGTGCTGAGTCCATTCAAAAAAGTCTCTATTTTCAGTTGTCCTTGCTTTTCCTTGCTTTTGCTGTTGAGCTGTGGAAGCTGAGTTATGTGTTTGAGAGAGATGATTCTTTATTACTGGCTTGTCTAGACTTTGAAGGAGCCAAAAGGTGTGAATGCTTTTTAGAATGTGTTAATAACTTTCCTTCTACTATGTTATAGAAGTGTTTCATTTCAGGATTCCCTGCAGGTATAGCTTGAGCCATTGGTTGCAAGTCCCCACCCTGCAAAAAAAAAAAAAAAAAAAAAAAAAAAAAAATCACCCCCTTTTATTTTATAGGAAATGTCAATTATTTGAGTTGAATTGTTAAAGAAAATAACATGATTTAATGATGTGTATGTATTTCAACTTCAAGCAAACTGTTAATGTTGGGTTTTTTTTTCTATTTTCCAGAGACACATGGAATCTCATTTAGAATTCAAATCAGTGTGAAAGAAGTGCTGGATACAGATGTACTTTTAAAGCTGTTATTTCATTTACCGGTCAATTACCCATCAACTGTACCGGAGATTTCTGTTAACTCAGACCAGCTTACAAGGGCCCAGTGTATGGATGTGAGAGAGAAATTACTTGAGCAAGCAAAGAAGCATCTTTCTGAGCCCATGGTACACGAGCTGATTCTGTGGGTACAGCAGCATCTTAAAGATGTCATTAAGCAATCAGCAACAGTTTGCAACGAAAAAACTACTTTGTCAAAAGGAACAGAAGATGGTATCTGGATGGTCCTTTTGCATTTAGATCACATGAGAGCAAAGGCAAAATATGTGAAAACTGTGGAAAAATGGGCTTCAAATCTAAGGCTGACTGGAAGACTGATGTTCATGGGCAAGATAATATTGATTCTTCTTCAGGGTGACAGGAGCAGCATTAAGGTGCAGGAACAATGAATGCTGACTAGTTCTATCGATTTACCACTGAAACCTCTGTGTCTGAATATTTTGTGTGTGTTTTTCTAAGATTAACAATTTTGGAAGCAAATTGATCATTATGAGAGTGGGAAGACCCAGCAACTTTATTCTGTATTTAAGAAAAAGGTGTTCTGTTCTGCCTACAGTGATACCTGTAGACCTGTGGCCTCTATTGGTTTGCTTCCCACTGGAACTATACCCCCATATCCCTTTGTTTCCAGACCTTAATATGCCTAGATTCAGTTACCCATATTTCCCAAATGTCCCAAAAAGTGGAAAAGGTTTTAGTGAGGAATTAATAACAAATGTGTTTCTAACTCATTGTTAACTGTATCTTTCCTTGACTTAAACCATGTGGTGCTCCTAATGCATGCCTGGGCTTTGAAATTGTTGTCTATGTACAAACTCCCACTGCCTTAGGTGTGTTTCTGTGGTGATGTTGGAGGAGAATGTTTTGGCTTTTCTAACTCGTGTTCTCTTAATCAGTTAGGCCTACGTAACTTAAAACCAATGAATAGAAGCAGTCGTGCAGGTTTTGGCATGGGCACTTTCAAAGTTTGATTGCTGTGTTTAAAAAAAAATACTACATTTTGATTGAGCTTTTGCATTTTACTAAACTTTGGACTACTAGGTGACATTTAATATTTTGGGAATATTTTTTTGTCATTTAGGAATACTTGATTCTTCAGAAAACTTCTAAGGTAGATGTGGACTCAAGTGGAAAGAAATGCAAAGAGAAAATGATGAGAGTACTGTGTGAGACAGAACTACAGTCCCAGCATAAAAGGTATAATTTAGTACTGTTGTGGATAGAAAAGTAACAGAATTGATAATTACATTCTGACAAATCCAGGCATATTCATGAGTTTCCCTTTTACAATGTAGGTTTCAGACGTTTGAAGTCAAAGAATATTCAGCACCAGAGGAGCTACAAAAGGAATTTGAAACTGCAGGACTTACAACTCTTTTCTCTGAGTTTGTTCCTCCTCTCTTAAAATAAAATTAGAAGAAACCACCGGACCTTTGCCCAAAGCAGTAGTTGACTGCAGATGCTGATGATAAAAGGACTTGTGGCAAAACAATGTTGAAGCTTTTCTACAAGAAATACCACCAGTAGTCATCCTTTTGCAAGAAGAAGGCAATTAATACATTAAGAACTGATATTTTTTTGACATTTATGTTAAAAAACAATGTGATGTTGATTATTATAATTGCATGGCAAGCATGAGAGACTGGGAAGAAATAATTCTAAAAAAAATATTCTTCTAGTCAGACTCTGTTTTATAGTCCCTGTTTTTCAACACACTTTCTTCTCTCTCATGGTAGAATTTGTCAGTAATGGCCTGTTAGAACACATGATTCATTTTGCTTTGGAAGGCTGTATGAAGGTATTTCCATAAAAAACATAGCAAACACAGATTTAAATATGTGAGCACAGCAGATACTTAATATCCCTTAGGAGTTCATGTGCTAATTTTTTATTCTCCCTTTAAATGACTACAAATACTAGATGGTTGATTTGAAGAAAAAGCTCATGTCACTTGAGGCCTGAAAAAAACTTAGAAGTGTCTTTTTGAATATTAGTTTTTATTCTAAAACTTAAAAGAACACTCACGTGGAGGATTTAAATTGATAAAAAGCTGAGGTAGAGCCAATTGTAATATTTTCTTTGATAGTTTTACAGATGTCTTTTTGCACTTTACCTGGTTTTACTGTCTGTGCAGCTTCAGATATCTTGATTCAATTAAACTGTTGGAGCAGTATATATACAGACTTCAGTCTTCCATCTTTCAAGGCTTCTGTCAAGTTACTTTTGTTTGTTTATGTGGTTTTTTTTTGGGTTGGTCACTAGCCTTGGCCAACCTGTAATTTTTTTTTATCAGTAGTTTGTGTTTTACATCTGTATAACGTTACAAATTATATGCATAATTGTATGAATTGTGCAAGTTGTGCAAGTTCTGTTTACCCAGGGAGGATTGGATACTTATCTTTTACAATTATTAATGTGTGTCCTTTGGTTTCTCTTTTACCTGAAACCACTCTCTAACAAGACTAGATAAATTACCCAGTAAAAAAAAATTAGCAGTCATGATTTTCTTATTAGCTAGTACTGCCATTTGCCATTTCAATTGGCTTTAGCATTTAGCTAAACATGTGCTTTACTGCTCTCTAAAATTCAGTCTCAGAAGCCAAATGTCTCATGTATTCTGTAATTAAAAAGATTTGATCAATTCAATATGAACTAATGTATTTCCATTGTTCTGGGGGAAGACCAGTACTATTTGTTTAGTTCCGAAAGTGTGGTTTGGCACATCATTATGTAAGATGTGATTTCCTGTTTCATGCTCAGACCATGAGGTCATACCTCTTCCTTTATATGTTCTAGAAAAGCAACTAAAGCAGACTAGGAAGATTTTTATATTTTACTGTTTGAGATATCAGATGCATAAAGGGTTGTATACTGGTTGAAAGTCCCTGAAGTTTTTCAGGAGTTTGGTGATTTTATAGTGAATATAGAGTGTCTCAAATATGTATATTGTATGTTATTTATGCACCGATGCAAATTTACTGAGATAGTAGCAATGTTCTTCTTAGTGAGTCTTTCATGTTTACCATATACAGTACTTCAGGATCAGTAGAAAAGAGACTGTGTTGAACAGGTTTTACACATCTGTTCTATATTATTTTGAAATTGCTTCCTGAGGGACAGGAAATCTAATTTTCTATCATTTTAAGTGCATGTGAAGATGAATTCTTACTTTTACAAAGAAGAATAAAACAGAATTATCTTTAAAATATTAAAATAACATATATTTTAAATTACAGTTTCCAGAATCGAGCTGTTCTCAGGTATTGAAAAATGGTGTGTCAGTGCAGTATAAAGTTTTGAAAAGCTGCTGAGAGTCTCTCCTGATACTGTGTGACAGATCTGACAAATGTCAAACTCAAGAAAAGGCCTATGCATGTACAGCATAAGAACACATAATCAGTATCTCTCTGCAAAACTAAATGTAGTAATATTTTGCCAGATGCATTGTAAATCTGATTTTAGGAATCGTGTGAATGGCATTACTTACTTGTGTGATCTCAAAATGCATGTGATTTCAAAAATAATTGAGGCATAAGTTGTTGTTATCATATTTCTTGCAAGATTAGATACAGACTTAATAAAGTTTTCCTCTTTACTAGAAAAGCAATTTGTGGTGTCAGTGGCTGCCAGTTGCACTTGAATATAAACCCATGTGTTTTTTTGAGTTTTACTGCCTGATGCCTTCTTGCTTAACTGTTTGGCCAGAGCTGGCATTCTGCAACAGCCAATTAAAAATTTATAATTGGGTAAGTTGCAGCTCTCTCCTGATGTGTGCTCATCTTCGTGCCAAATGAAGTTTAAGAAGCTGGATGATTTCTGTGTTTCAGGAGATGGAAAATGCAGTTTTTACAATGGATTTTTACCGTTGTTGAATTTGTTATTCACTAGCTCACACTGGACAAATCCACAAGTTCACTGCGGAGTGGACTACAGTTTATAGCTTGGTTTGATGTGCTTCAGGAGAATTACAAATCTGATCAGCTTGATGCAGTTCAGACAGCAGAGAACATGAGAACTGATGTCAGTCTGATTCTGTTAAAGCAAATGCTTTTGCCTACCCATCAATCAGTCACTTATTTTGAAGGGGTAGGAGGATATCTTCTGTTCAGACAAGTAAACAATATTTTTAAAGGCTGCTCTTCTGGAAGGATGTTGCAGCTGTCTGTTAACTGATGGTTTGTTTGCATTCATTGTAAGAGATGAGCTAGCCTGTGAGCCTTTGGGGTACAAAAGTCATCAGGATGGGTCCTGCGGTGCATGTTCTGCCTTCTAAGGGAGCTAAGGCAGACACAGAAGAACAAGAAACAAGGAAAAAATGCATCAGCGTGTAAAAAGTTAGTGAAGTGTATGTAACTATTGGAATCTGACAGTTCAGTTGCAAGGAAGAAGAAATCCACAAATTAAAGGTGATTTAACAAATTAGAAGCTAGCTTTCTCGTGGATGGGGTTCATAAATAGTTCTTCAAACAGCATGGTCAGTGAAGCCTTGTTTCCTGTGGCCTTGCTAGTTTCTAAGCTATAGCACACATGAAACCTTCCCTGCAGGAGATGCATTCCTGATGGTGTTCTCCAGGTGGGGTCCCCTGTGCCTGGTATTGATTGTGCATAAATTGATTAGTTCTTGCATAAATCTTTAAAGTATGAATAGCATTTTTTCACCTGTTACCTTCCTCATCAAAGTCTTAGGTACTTGGTTTCTTTCAGGTTGTTAACATCTCATTTTGATTGAAATGACTTAAATTCAAAAGTTCTAGGAAAACTTTGTAGTATAAGTATGTTTGCTTCTGTATGGACAGCACAGATGTGTAATCATAGTTTCCTTTAAAAATCAGGATAAAATGAAAGATGTTGCAGTAGGAGTGATAACTTGAATTAAGTTTGTTAGGACAAAACTGATGTTTGATTGGTCTTTCTGAATACCTTGGCATATTAAGTATGAAGAAAATAAAAAATAGGTTGAGGAAACAAGAGTGATCCAGAGGAGGGAAATAAATGGGGGATATCATCAGTATTGGGAATTCACCTTGTTTCCATACTTAGTCTCAGTAATTCTTCCCCCCACCACCCCTGAATTTATTTGATGTTCCAGGGAGGACAGGAGACTGTAAGAACTCATGTATGAAAAATCCTTGACACAATCAATTAAAAATAAATGAAAGTAGATTGGATTGCTTTCCGAATAAGGCTGATTTTTGTGGTTTTGTAGTTACATGTCATTTTTCTATAATAAGAGCATTTGTCTCTTACTTCTGGTGTGAATGACCCACAAAATCCACTGAGATGAGTATAAATTATATGCAGAGGTACTGTAATGAGCCTTAAGAAACTTCATAGTGGAAAAAATATTTTGTTTATGTTGTTTCTTTTAAAAATAGTTTAATAAACCCTACATATGGATGATTTAAAGCCTAGTGTCCCCTGATTTGTTCGGCTTTATCTGTGAAAATATAAACATAACCATGCTATAGTACATTTGAAATAAGATGATGAAGTGTTGCACTCACTATATTTCTGCCAGAGTTTGAGACTGAAATTGCTTATATTATGAAATAGTGCAATTGCTAGAATCAACTTTAATATATCTTATAGTAGTACTAAGCATTATCTTCCTGTCTTTTTGTGTATAACACATGCAACACTGGCAGTACTCTGCTATGGTGTTATATTTTGTATGTATGCTTAATTTCTTGTTATCTTATGCAAGAGTTATGATTGTTTATATTTTTAATTATAGACATAAATGGAACGTAGAATATAAATATGCTGATAGCATTTTGCAGCTGTTGTTCTCTGCCATGTTCATGTATTGGCTTTTATATTAGTTTGTGTTGTCTATCTTCAAAGTATTAAACTGCAGTGAAGAGAACTCTTTAGGGTGACAGAAAAATTTGCCTAGAAGACATTAATTTAAGGAATTCTTTGGACTCTAAAGATGGATCCCTTAATGTTTTGAGTTAATTATGCATTCAGATGCTTTAATTTTATGCTAATAAGGTAGCAACTGCTGCACTTTTGAATTTTCTTTGTGTTTCTTAACGTGATACCAGTAATCAGTTTGTATCCTGTGTTACAACATAGCTGATCATGAAATTTGGGTCAATATTTTATTAGTATTTCCCGTTGTAAATGTCTATGATTCTTTATAGGTATACATTATTATCTTTTATAATTTGAATGCAAGCGTTATTTTAGGATGAGACTTGTTACAAAAGAGCTGTGCGTGAGAACAGTAACTCTACTTTGTGCTGCTTTTCCTACTGTCAACTTTCACATTCCTGCAGCTATGAGGGGCTGTCCAAGGCTCAGAGTTTTCTGGAGCTGGGCTTAACAGGCCAGCCCGGTGTGTTACACTAGATCTCAGTGCCAGCTGGCTGGAGGCAGGCTGCTCTCCAGGCCTTTGTTGGGACCGTTTGGATAACAACTAACTGCCGCTGAAGGGGTTAGCTGGGTATTTCTTGAACTTCGTGTAGAGAATTGATGGAGTGAATTCCACCAATGCAGAAAAGGTGAGTGGTTGGCTGCTGCTCGATCTGAGCTTTACATCAGGAAAGCTCTCTGGTACTCCTTTTATGTTAGTGCCAAGGAGGGTAACAAGCTGAAGTTTACACACGTGCTAATCCCAGGGAACACTGCACAGCAAAATCAGTGCCACAATTTTAAGACTGAAGGTGGTAAACTCAATGTACTTTGACCATTTTTTAGCTGTACTTGGAAAAAAGACCAACAGAAAATGATTTTGTTGGTCTCTGATCAGTCACTCATCTGTAGTGGTGTACAGAGACAGGGTGCATTTTTATGGGAGATGGTGCTATGACTATCATTCAGCTGAGATACAATAAAAAGCAGTTCTTTTTTTTAAGTAAAATAACTGAGTTGCTTGTGAGAACACTGTCCACGTGAGATGCTGAACAGAAGCTGAGCTGTATGGATTGAGCTGTGCCAGAGGCTGATTTTTATTTGGTGGAAGTGGAGGTGTTAGAAAGGAACAGACGGCAATAAAAACACTGGTGATGTGGCTCTCAGAGAAGCCAAAATGAAGGGATTTTGCATTGATTTCTCTGAAAAAAAAGTTGTGGAGTATGAGCAAAGGAGTTGCTACTGTATCCAAGCTTCAAGTAGAAATATCTGAAATAAATATGCAGCTTCATTGTCATTTTCTCTTTTTAGCAGTATCGGCGTGTAGAACTGAGAACAAGTAGTGGAAGTTTTCACGAGTATAGAAATGACAAACCTCACTCCAGAGCTGTAGGCTGTCCATGCAGAAATTAGCACAGTTCTTAGAAATTGTCCTAATTGTCCTCAGAAATGACAGAGACTTTGTGGAGGCAACAAACTCCAAAAGTCTCATGGTTTGAAAACCAGGCTGTTGTCTCTGAGCGGTTGGGAAGATTGATGGAAGAGTGACCAGCAGCTCCCAGGAGAAGATTTTCTGCAGAATTTGGGCATTCTGGAAAAAGCAAGGGCTAAGGGGGTTGACAAATCACTTTTGGGAAAAAAGATTCTGCTTATTTGTGGAATCAGAGAATACCGGTAAGTGTTTAATTTTTACAAGACTTTTTCTGCATGGATACTATAGACACATGGTATGGAGATTCTAGATGGTCCTTGCTCAAATAGTATCTAATGTCTTGGGAACCTGATGTATTTCAGTTCCACATCAATTAAGAAGATTTTTGGTGATATTGGTGGTCAGTGGCATGAAAAGATTTAAGTACTGCAAACCTATTCTGGATCAAGGATTTGCTCTGGAATTAAGAAACAGCTTTTAAGTATTAATTAGACAAGGCACATCCAATAAGAGCAAAAACAGGAGGGGAAGAAAACATTCCACTGGAATAGCTACAAGAAATCCAGAAGGTCATGTTTCTGAGGTACTGGTGTGGCAAAGGAAAACTTCAGGGTCACCCTTGCATTGACAAGGAGCAAAATGCTGTAAACTCAGCTGGATGTGAGGGTGTCCACCAGAATTTCTGGGCTGTACGGTGCTTGGCACAGTATTTGTGTCTTTGCCATTGCAGCTGCCAGCAACAGATTTTTTTTTTTTTTCACCCCTTTAATTTTTTAATTTATTTGAAGGCAGCTGCAGAAAGGGAGCTTGCTATGAATTCTGTTCTTGTGATACTAAAAGATGCTATAGGTTTCATTCAGACTAGTTTTGAAGAAGCAGGGGAATGCTTTTTAAAACAAATGAACAGAGATAAAATCTCAGGAGAAGCTGTTAATTTACATATTGGAGCTGTGAAAAAAAAGATGTGTCACAAGAAGAAGAGTCATAAAACAGAGAGGGAATAAAGATGTCCCCCCACTGGTCCAGAGTTGCCATCTCTCTGAGCTCTGGCAGAAGCTGATGTTAGTGCTCAGCAGAGGAGAACAGGTATTTCTACTCAGTAGTGCCTGATGCTGGCACTAAAGAGCTTTTTGTGCTGGAAGACGGGGGACAGCTAAAGGAAAAGCTTGGAAGCACAGGCAGCATGCTGACAATTTTTAGGGTCTCAGCTTTTGAACAGTCATGAAAGCTGGGCTACTCACTGTGTAACACTGTCAGTAATATTCACAGGAGCTCTGGTACTGGCTCTTGTTAAATAAATCAAGACTATTAGAAA